AAGCCTCGGAAGCTGCTGGGCCACTTCCTTACTGCTCCGTGCCCGTTCCACTCAACGACGACAACCCTCTTGATAGTAACAACCTCGACACCTACTACCACTTCCCTGACCAGGGCTACACTACACCTCAACCGGTTGACACAAATGTCTCTGAATACATCGGACCGAATTTCTTACCTGACCCCGAAGATGGCGACGAAGCAGCTTATCCCGGGAATGAAAATTCCCCTTGACACACACCCACAAGCCTGCAGATACTTGGACTATGGGTCGCTGTCCAGAGCCCGCCGCCGCCGTCGTTGCGCGAGCCAGCGACTCTATCGCAGGCTTTGGGGGGGGAACACAAGGCGAAATGGAAGGAAGCAATGGAAAAAGAAGTGAAGGCCGTGCAAGACCGAAACACGTAGAAACTAGTACCTGCAACAAAGACCAACAGGAAGAATGTGCTCTCGGGGAAGTGGGTGTACCAAATCAAGACTAATGCGGATGGCTCCATCGACCGCTTCAAGGCTCGCTGGGTCGTACGTGGATTCGACCAGCAATACGGAACCGACTACACGGAGACATTCGCCCCAGTCTCCCGACATACCTCCCTGCGCATTCTGCTCGCCGTCACGGCCACGAAAAGGTTACCACTGCGGCAGATCGACGTCGCCAACGCTTTCTTGTACGCACATGTGGATGCTGAGATCTTCGTCGAGCAGCCCCACGGCTTCATCGACGATCCTACAAAAGTATGGCAGCTGATAAAATCTCTCTACGGAATCAAACAAGCCCCCCGCCTTTGGCAGCAGCACCTTTACGGCCACCTCGTCAGGATCGGCTTCCTGCAGCTGCCGCACGACCAAGGGATGTACCGACTGCAGAAGGGGGGCGACTTTGTCCTACTCATCGTCTACGTCGGCTCCACAAACGATGTCGTCACCTGGTTTGAAGGGGAGCTGAAGAGTGATTTAACACTCACGGTGTCAGACACCATCACCCAGTACCTAGGCCTGAACGTCATCGAAGACGATTCGGCGCTCTACCTACACGCCGAAAAGTACGCAGGCATCGTCGCGAAGAAATTCGGACTAACACCGGTCGCAGTCGCGACTCCCTATCGCTACGGGAACGACAACAGCGACACCTCCGCAAAGCTCCCCACTAAGTAGATTCAGGAATACCAACAGAAGCTCGGTTGTCTCCTGTTCGCAGACGTAACCTGCCGACCGGATCTGTCCTACAGCGTTAGTCAACTGGCGACACACCTAAAGCAACTGGAGCAAGAGCACCTCGAGGAGCTGAATCGGGCACTGCTCTACTTCGTCTCTACGCTGACGATCGGACTCACCTACAGCAAGGTGACACTGTCGTCCGTACAACTACTCGGCTATGTCGACGCTGACCACGCGGGAGACAAGGGGAATCGGCGTACTAGAACGGGCTACATCTACCGACTAGAACCTATCGGGAATATTTCCTGGCAATCGAGCAAGCAGGAACTAATCGCACTATCTTCGGCTGAAGCGGAATACATCGATCTCTGCACTGCGAACAAAGAGGGATTTTACCCGCGGGAGCTGCTCGAGGAAGTGAAAAATGCGACCATGCCCGCCTTCTCGTTATTCTACGACAATCAATCCGCGATCAAAATCGCGAACAAAAACGGGTTCGCCAATCGAACCAAGCACATCGCCCTGCTGTATTTCTTCACCAAGGATGAGATCGCGAAGGGGAGACTTCAACTCAGTTACTGCCCCACGACAGAAATGGCTGCAGATTACGTGACGACGAAACTGGCAAAGGCAAAGTTCGATTACTGCATGCTGCTGACCGGGCAGATAAACGTCACTGAATCCGGACACGTCAGCACTCCAGAAACGAAGGGAAGTGTTGGAAATACCTCGAAGACTTAAAACCACTGGCCAAAATAGCAAAGGGGGGCTTCAAGTGAGCCCCTCTTGAAGGAGGGGCACTTCTGAAAAAAAGGGGTCCCAGTGCGAAACAGCCTGGGCAGTTTTGGGGCAGCTGGGCAGATATGCACCCTCAAATTCGCGCACCTACGGGTGGTTGGGTTGGGCGAAATGTCGAAAGGGAACGTGTGCGACCAATACCCCAAAGCCATGCGCGACAAACCCAATTTCCTGCCCAAATGACGAGATGGAAGTGAAGCCGAAACAGGGGCGTGATTACGTGGGGAAGTGCAACGTACCTCAGATCACGAAAATGGAGGAACCCAAGCAAGTGACGAAACGGAGAATACAAAGATGCTGAGACTGGAGGTTGATTCACAAATTGTGAACACGCTCTGTCCTTGACTTCGACGTGGTCTCAAATTGCACACATTGAAACATGCATATTATACAACGTAACACATAACACGATGAAAAACCACATAACAAAACCAACATATCTTCGGACATCTTATCAATCTCATGCTTGAAAATACAATAGATTTGGTACACTGCAGGAGAAAGGCCCGTCACATATTGTAATAAAGAATGGGTGTAAATAAGTCTCCCGATTATCTAACCAGCCAAAACACAAACTTGGCCACACGTGCTAATTTTTTTGCGATTGGCAATGTGAACAAAAGAATCTGCTGTTCAATGGAAGAGCACCTGAGCAAGGGGTTGAGTGACAAGATTGAGAGGAGAAACTAGTTGGGAGAGGGGGAGAAGGGATGAGGGTACAGCATGGGAAACAGAGAGCATGGGAGGGCGAATGGGGGAAACAGAGAGCATGGGAGGGGGAAAGGGGGAAACGGAGAGCATGGGAGGGGGAAAGGGGGAACCAGTGAGCACAGCACGGGGAAAGGGGAGAACAGAGAGCATGGGAGGGGAAAAAGGGGAAACAGAGAGCATGGGAGGGGGAAAGGGGGAACCGGTAAGCACGGCACGGGGAAAGGGGGGAACAGAGAGCATGGGAGGGGGAAAGGGGGAAACAAGGAGCACAGCACGGGGAAAGGGGAGAACAGAGAGCATGGGAGGGGAAAAAGGGGAAACAGAGAGCATGGGAGGGGGAAAGGGGGAAACGGAGAGCATGGGATGGGGAACGGGGGAACCGGTGAGCACGGCACGGGGAAAGGGGGGAACAGAGAGCATGGGAGGGGAAAAGGGGGAAACAGAGAGCATGGGAGGGGGAAAAGGGGGAACAGAGATCATGGGAGGGGGAAAGGGGGAAATAGAGAGCATGGGAGGGGGAAAGGGGGAACCGGTGAGCATAGCACGGGGAAAGGGGGGAACAGAGAGCATGGGAGGGGAAAAAGGGGAAACAGAGAGCATGGGAGGGGGAAAGGGGGAAACAGAGAGCATGGGATGGGGAACGGGGTAACCGATGCGCACGGCATGGGGAAAGGGGGGAACAGAGAGCATGGGAGGGGGAAAAGGGGAAACAGAGAGCATGGGAGGGGGGATCTCCACGTTGCTACCTCCGAGCCCCCCTTTACCCATCCTCAACCCCCAGTCCTCCCTTTCTCCAACCATTCCTACCCACTCCCGCCCCCTATCCTCCTGCATTCCCCATTTCCCTGCCCCCTATATCCCTGCCTTCCCCATTTCCCTTCCCCCTAACTCCCTGCCTTCCCCATTTCCCTGCTCCCTATCTCCCTGCCTTCCCCATTTCCCTGCCCCCTATCTCCCTGCCTTTCCCATTTCCCTGCCTCCTATCTCCCTCCCTTCCCCATATCTCCCCTCATTCCGCTTCCCCCTCATTCCGCTCGCTCTCCCCCTTATTCCGCTCGCTCTCCCGCTCACTCCGCTTGCTCTCGCCGTCATTCCGCTCGCTCTCCCCCTCACTCTGCTCGCTATCCCGCTCATTCCGATCGCCTTTCCCTATCATTCCGCTCGCTCTCCCCTTCATTCCGCTCGCTCCCCCCCTCATTCCGCTCGCTCTCCCCCTCACTTCGCTCGCTCTCCCCGTCATTCCGCTCGCTCTCCCCCTCATTCCGCTCGCCTCTTTCCTCTGCAAGCGCTCCCATTCCCCCCATCACGTCCACCCATGCATGTTTCCCCCATTCTGCTTACCTCTTACCCGCATCCCTCCCTGTCTTTTCCCCATACTTTCCCCCCTTTTCCCCCGTCGCCTGACTACACCAAGGTTGATAGCGGACTCGCTATGCTTCCCGAACAGCGGCGAAACAGCCGCGCGATCTCGCCGACAAGTTGCTGACCGTCTCGCAAACACCCGTGGCACACCGCCCAATGTTTTTCGCCAAGCTGCGGCGGACGATTATCTACGCTGAGCTTGCTTGCATCCTTTCCACTGCTTCCTGCCATCGCTACTGCACAATACAGTGTTTTCTGTCGGAACTAAAGGGTCGTTCACACGCGGGGAGCTGCTCTTTCCCGTCCGCACGCCAGATTATTTTTTTAGACGGGGGAAAGGGCTGGGGAGCTGCGCTAAGCTAGCGTAGGTGTCGGGTCTCCTACGTCTGAAAAGCAATAGCACACCTGGGGCTCACTTGAAATTCTACCCTGATGACGAGTGTTCGCATGGACTTTGTTTTGGTTGAGCCTTGCGACCCTCGAGATTGTCGCAGCGTGTTTGCCAAAGGAGTTACGACTGCATTGTTCCGTTAGCCAATGGTTTGCACGCTGCAAAATCGCAGCATTTGTTTTTTCGCGTCGGGGTAGGTGTACCATTGCAAATCGGGTTCATTTCTCTGACCCCCAAAATACTCAATTTTCAAGTGTGCCCCCCCTTTGCTATTCTAGCCTGTGGTTTTAAGCGTTTCTGAAGTGTAACACTACACTCGAGGAAAGTCGTATCGGGTACGCGAGTCAAAGGAGGTTACACGAGGAGGTTGGACGAAAGAATACGAAAGGGCGAAGGGACTCGAAGGGTCGCAACCGGAGGTTGCGATTGACCGTTGCGACTGCAAGGGTGGTAACCGAACCGCCAATCGAGTCGCTGTGCGACTCGATAACTGTTCCTTCAACTGTATTCTACAACTGCTTCATTTCTTATTTTCTATATATTGCTGTATGCTTGTTTCTTTTAATCAATCACTTGCTCTCACATACTAGTGCAAGGGTTCAACTACTCAACACTTCCGCTGCACTACTCAAGCGTTTTGTACAAGTGGGACTTAGTCTCTGAAAAGGTCCTAAGGCTTTTTCTCAGCCCAACATGTCGTAACATCCACTCAGGTCGTCTCCACACGAGCCCGCTCTACTACATCTATTAACTGGTGGTCTGGGAGTGGGGCTTCGTACACCGGCTCCTGCGGTCTCTCTTGCTGCTGCCGCTGCACAAAGGAACCCCCACTCCCCCTCGCTGCACCTGCATGTGGGACGGGCAGCGTGAAAACTTTTTGCTGCCCGGTTAGAAAGCCTATCGGGTTCATGCACCGAAAGTCGACGGCATCTGGGGGGCCTTGTGTGGTAGCCAAAGGCACCGGATTTTCACCCCTCCCTAGGTGCTTCTGCTTCTCCTCTTGATGTTTCCCCTGAATCCGCAGCGCCCTCTGCTGTTGCTGCTGCTGCTGTTGCTGCTGCCCTTGTTGATGATGCTCTTCTCGATCTATGGATCCCTGCCCATCACCACCCTCTTCTAGCTGCAGGAGGTTTGCTCTACTCCCTCCCTTGCTGCCCACTGCCGGCTCGTCGGCTGCTACAACCGCTGGCACGTCCGATACTTCAAGATGTGCATCGGCAGAGAGAGGCTCGGGTGGGGGGGAATTTTCTCTTAGTCGCTCAAAGCCTAGCAAGGGCGACACTCCTGGCAGGGTGAAGGGGATGAGGCAGTCATATGCAGGAATACAGAAACAATAAGAAGGAAGATATGTATTGTGGAGAAGTTATGCTCTCTCTTTTTGAAAATCTCTCGACCTCTAAAAGTTACTCACTTTTGTACTCTCAACAGCACTCACTCTAAACAGCAGTCGCTCTTAAAAGTTCTCACCCTCCAACAGCTCCCAAATCGACTCTCTCGAACCTACTCACTTGACACGGATGCAGAGGAAGGATCTGAGAAGACCTTCCAGTGTGCGACAACGCCTAGGAGTGTGCCTGCAATGGGAGAGAGGGGCAAAGTAAGTGCAGCAGGCCCCGCAAGACAGTCCCTTTTTTTGAGGCCTCTAAAAAAAAGACTGCAATGAGGGAGAGGCAAAGAAGAACAGCAGGACCAGCAAAAAACTCCCCTGCCTGGCGCATTACTGTACATGTCCAGGTCAGCGCGAGTCCCCGACCCGCAGCAAGCGAACTCTCCCACATGACTGAGTCAACACTCGAGTCATGCGTGCTGCACCCCTCCATCCTCACCTGGAGCAGTCCCAGCAATCATGCCACGTGACACGAGCCTGGTTTTGAGGCGCCTCAAAACTAGACTCCTATCACGCGGCAAGTGAGTTCTTTCCCCATCACTGAGTCAACACTCGAGCCATGCGTTCTGCACCCTACTCTTGAGAATTCTAAAAAATACCTTGCATGCTGCACCCCTCCACCCTCACCTAGAGCAGCCTTTGCCAGGATGTCTCCCGGCACGTTGCTACTTGTGTCAACAACACCCCACCTATACAAGCCGTGCATGCTGCACCCCTCCACCCTCACCTAGACTAAACCCCACAAGTCCATTCTACAACCATCCATCCATCCATCCAGCCAGCCTCACCTAGAGCCGCCCCTGCAATTATGTCTCGCGGGGCATTGCTGTGCGTGTCCAGGTCAGTTGACCATGTGAGCATTCTCCGCATCACAGAGAACCCCACAAGTCCATTCTACAACCATCTATCCATCCAGCCTCACCTAGAGCCGCCCCTGCAACTATGTCTCCCGGGGCGTTACTGTACGTGTCCAGGTCAGCAAGCCCGGCACCCGCAGCGAGAGCCAACGGCCACGCGACAGCTGGCAGGCGCCAGAGATGGCTGACGTGGAGAGAGTCCCAGAGGATGGCAGCAGTAGATTGATGCTGCCTTTGAGTGGACTCAAAGGTAACAGGGTGAGGGGAGGATCTTGCATTCGCATGTGCATGCTCAAGAGACTGCGGGGGTTGACTGGAACACTGGTGGGATTGATTGTGTTGGTAAAGGTGAGGGGAGAGGCGCTGCCTTGGTGAGTAGTTGGGGGAGAAAGGCCGCTGGGGAATTGACTGTCGGGTAACTTGGGAGAGGAACAGGAGGAGGAAAATTGCAGCTGAGAAGCTGACTGCCACGAGCAGAGGAAAGGGAGGGGAGGAGGGGGCGAGTGGGGAGTGGGGGAGTGGGGGAGTGGGGGAGTGGGGGAGACAGAGTGGGGGAGACGAGTTGAGGGGTGGTTTGGTTGAAGTGAATCAGAAGGAGGTCCCAACACAAGCTATTGGCTTAAGAAAACAGGGGGGTACCAATAGGGTGGAATTCTTGCTTTCAACGTGGGCTGAGGGGAAGCTCCTTCGGAAGAGATTTTTTGAGAATTCTCAAAAATCACCTAAAACTTGTAGTTGACGTCTCTGCAGCCAGTGGGGGCATGCTAAGGGCAGAGGCTAGTGAAGGCAGGGCGCCATTTCACGGCAGAACATGCGAGAAGCTGGAGACTTAAGGACAGGAGGCTCACTCGCGGCATGGGCCGAGGGGAAGCTCTTGCGGTAGTAATCAAGGTCGGCAGCAGGGAGCATACAGGTGATACCGGCTGATGGCGAGACCACCTGGTGAGAGGAGAGAACGCGAGGAGTGGTAGCAGAATGGATGGGGGAACGAAGGGGGAAGAAACAGAGTAGTTGAGGTCGGCAGCAGAGAGCATACAGGGGATGCCTGCTGATGGCGAGACCACCTGGTGAGAGGAGAGGACCAGGGAAGGGTACAGAATGTGCGAAAAGACGGAAGCAAGGGTGTAGAGGGGAAGAGGGAAGACGAGAAGAATTGGGTTGTGATGGGAAATAGCAAGGGGAAATGTGGTTGCAGGGGAATGCAGGAGGAGAGGGGAAGAAGGGAGGGCACACCGGTTGGCTGCCATGCAAGCACGCTGAGAGGAAGTTGGGGCGAGGTCTTCCAACGGCGCACTGCAGGAGAGTGGCGGTCAGCCAAGTGGTTTGAACGGCTGAGAGCAGCCCTGCAACGGAATACGGTGGATGAGGGTGGGATGGTGAAGGGCGGGGGGGAACAGGTGAGGAGAGAGGGGAAGGTGAGGGGAGGGGGAAGGTGAGGGAAGGGGGTAAGCTGAGGGAAGGGGAAAGGTGAGATGAAAGGGGATATGCCATGTGTTAAACACGTTTATGCCAGAGCGTGGTACAGCGCAACGTGTGAAATCGATCATAAGACTGGCTGTGCTGCTTGTACCGAGTATAGACTTGTGCAGTTCCAGTATGCTTCTTTGCGGGAGGAGCACCAGGGGAAATACGGCAAGTGGAGCCAGCAGCGAAGCAGCCTGCAGCAGACAGGCACGGAGAACGGGAAGAGCCTATTTTTGAGGCGCCTCAAAAATAGGCACGCAGAACGGGAAGCCGAAGAAGCAGAAGAGTGGGTCATGGTCGACGGAGGGACAGAGTAGGTCATGGATGGTCGGAGGGACAGAGTGGGTCATGGATGGTCGGTCGGAGGGACAGAGTGGGTCATGGATGGTCGGAGGGACAGAGTGGGTCATGGATGGTCGGAGGGACAGAGTGGGTCATGGATGGTCGGAGGGACAGAGTGGGTCATGGACGGTCGACGGAGGGACAGAGTGGGTCATGGATGCTCGACGGAGGGACAGAGTAGGTCATGGACGGTCGACGGAGGGACAGAGTGGGTCATGGATGGTCGACGGGGACAGAAGGGACAGAGCGAGAGGGGGGCAGAGCAGAGCGACAGAGTTAAACGGGGAGATGAAATGGTGAAGGCAAAGGGGCAGAAGGGTACAGTGAAGGATAAGAAGGGCCAACACTCAGACTCAGACTCAGACTCCGACTCCGACTCCGACTCCGACTCCGACTCCGACTCCGACTCCGACTCCGACTCCGACTCCGACTCCGACTCCGACTCCGACTCAGACTCAGACTCCGACTCCGACTCCGACTCCGACTCCGACTCCGACTCCGACTCCGACTCAGACTCAGACTCCGACTCAGACTCCGACTCAGACGCTGGCAGGTGGCAGGTAGCCGGGAAGGAGAGAGTTAGAGAGAAATTCATATCGTCCTTCTAACAGGGATAAAGTGTACCGTACGATGAACAACGTCACGGTCATTGCTGCATTGTCGACGAACGGATAGCGCGGGTACTGGAGGCTTTCAGGCGGGATGAAGCGCTTATTAGGAGGTAGGTAGAGCGAGAGAGGGCGATGGTGATGCAGCCTACGTACCATAAACAGGTTGGCGGCCGTCCCTGCATTATCGATAACCGGATACCGTGGAGAATGGAGGCTTTCGGGTGGGATGAAGCGCCTATAAGGAGGCAGGTAGAGCGACAGGGCGATGTTGAGTGGGAGCAAGGCGAGGAGCAGCAGCCAATCGGCTCTGTTGGCGACGACTGCTCGCCAGAACGCTCGCACATGGTGCTGCTGCGACAAGAGCTGCGACAATGGGTATTGCGACGAGGGTCGCGACGAGGGCTGCGACGTGGGATGCGACATTGAGCTGTCACGTGGCGACTGACATTCGGAGGGGTTGAGGGGCGCAGCCAGATGCTGGCTGGAGCCTGGAAGATGGGAGGCGAGGGGGACGAGGAGAGGGAGAGGGGATGGTTTTTAGTCAAATGAAATACTTCGTAGGGGTTGAGGGGTGCAGCCAAATGCAGGCTGGAGCCTGGCGGGACGGAGGCGAGATGGACAGGGGGACGGAGGGGGAAAGGGAGAAGTACGCAGTGATTAGTTGGTTGGTGGTGATCGGTGATCGCTGATCGCGTTGCCATGGGGAGAAACTTTAAAGAGGAGGCTCGAGGAACTTGATTAGGACGCTTGGAGCTAACCTCGGGATGAAACTCGAAACATGCGAACGCATGCGAATGGCGCCACGGCTCGCGCAGGTATCAGTAGCAAGGTGATGAATTCATGCGGAAGGCGAGAATTTAATGGATTCTTGCGTGTCGTCTATCTCCCTTATCGTCCGTTCAACAACAATGAAACACGACGGATGTCAGGGGGGGAAGGTGCTCGGGGAGAATGGGATTCATTCGGACTGACAGATATAATCGTTCAGAGACTGACAGTGAATGCGTTCAGAGAGGCCTTGGGATGATCGAGCACCACAGGGATGATCCATCCAAAGTTTGATTGTAGTGACTTCGAACGCGTAATGAAGCGAAAGGCGTACGTTTGGCGGGAAAAAATAGCGGATTTGTAAAAGGTGAATATGATTATTATTGAACAGATACGGACGTATGCTCCAAACGGGTATTCCCGGAGACAAAGGCAGAAGATCGTGCCCAACAGCCATTCAAACTATTGAATGAGCGCAGCTTATTATAAGTCGACACGTGGACAGAACATGCCTCGAGAGCCTGGGGCTCCGTTCGGACAAGAGGATTGTCACGCAGCTCCTAAACAGTTTTACTATATTCGACTGTGAAAATTTCATACGTTTACATAAGACCTATTTCCCCAATTTCAAAGTACAAATTCACTGTCCACGAACACGGCTTCGATTCAGTTTCGCGATTCGCGAAACCTGTGCTCCCTCGAATTCGAAGCCACACCTCGCCAAGCCAGCCTTGATATTGCTTGGGACCATCCATCCTTCGTTCTTTTCTCGTTTTGCGTTCTGATCTTTCGATTCCTTCCCCCACCCCACTGCCTCTCGTCTGTAGTGCTCAGTTATGCTCGGTTATTAGTCTGCCCGCAATGCCGCTGCTAGGAGGAAAGTTGCATCCCTTAGCGCAGCCACCGGCGGGCCTGGAGGATAACGAGCAGCTCTATGTCGTCAGATTCACGAGAGAAGCGTTTCGCAACTACGAGTGAGCATTGCGCTTCGTTTTCGTGATTCTGATCCCAACTTGTCTCGACAAACCCTAATTTTAGTCCGAGCACCCGAATTCGCTGTGTTCGGCCTTAAACTGCGTAGCACCACTCCCCGTTCTTCGCGCGGCTCTCAGGGATGTAGAATCCCATTTGGCAAGGATTTTTGTGAGAGATATCCTCTTCCGTTTTCGTCGACTGATTCGGATCTCTTGGATTTAATCGTGATCCCTTCAAGATCGCCGTCGCAGAACATAGCAAATGCTGCTGAAGCACTAGCTCTAGTGCAGCACTGATTCCTGATGTCTCGTGACAGGACAACCAAACAACCACTTCTCCCCCCCTCCCCTCCCCCGCGCCCCCCCCCACCCCCCCAACCCCTCCCGCTTCCCCAACTTGTTGACCAGGGACTATCTTGCCGCCATTCGACGCTATAAGCAGCGCATATGGACGTGTACCGAGACGGGTCAGAGCGGGCTGACTTATGAAGAAGCACTCAATAGCGAGACAGAGACGGTCGAGGAGAAGAGGCGGCTGAAGCAGTCGGGTTACCGGGATCTGCCGGATTGGTTTCACAAGATCGCCATCCCTATCGTTCACAAGAGTGAGACACTCATCCTTGTCTGTCGCTGAATTGTTTGTTTGTTTGTTTTTGTTATATTTCCTCTCTTTTTTTAATGAGAGAAAGAAATCACGTACAACAAGCAGTCGGGTTACCAGGATACCGGAGTGGTTTCACAAGATCGCCATCCCTATCGTTCACAAAAGTGAGTCGTTCACATTTGTCAATCGTTGGTATTTGTTGGGTTCTGTGAAAATAACCTACAACAAGCAGTCTGGTTACATGGCTCTGCCGGATTGGTTACACAAGATCGCCATCCATTCCTATCGTGCACAAAAGCGACACTTCTATACACATTGTTTGGTTGCATAACGGATCAAGATGCTGTTACTTTGCAACAAGACCATCTGCCAGCCATCCCACGTCCCAAGGCTGACTTAGCTCGGCGTTGATCTGATTTGATTCGATCTGCTGATTTCGTGTATGGATCCATACAGGTTTTTTTTAGAAATCTGGTTTTATCTGATTTGATCTAGTTCGCTGATTTTTCTAGACTTGAAATCAATAAACCAGAGCCTGACTTTATTTGATCTGGTTTGATCTGATTTGATCTAGCTGATTTCAAATCCCAGGCATGCAGAGCAAGGTGCACTAGTAGTCTATGGTTTGTGGATATCAAGTCTTAAAAGCTCTGTGCTGACCTTTGAGTCGACTCAAAAGTCACCTCAAAAGCTCTGTGCTGACCTGATATGCGGTTTTTCGTTTCAGGCAGGCAGAGCAAGGGTGCACTCGTAGTCTCTGGTTTGTTGATTTCAAGTCTCAAAAAAATTCTGTGCTGGTCTGATATGGGGTTTCGTGTTTCAGGCAAGCAGAGCAAGGGTGCACTAATAGTCTCTGGTTTGTTGATTTCAAGTCTCAAAAGTTTTGTGCTGATCTGATATGAGGTTTCGTGTTTCAGGCAAGCAGAGCAAGGGTGCACTCGTAACGGCGATCCAAGACGCCCAGGACGACAGAGGAAGGTGAGCAGATGTGAATCGAGGTGTTACCCTTGGGTTGATGCTAGGTGTTGCTGTACGAGTGAATCAATCAAGGCAAGCAGAGCAAGGGTGCACTCGTAGCGGCGATCCAAGACGCCCAGGACCACAGAGGAAGGTGAGCAGATGTGAATCGAGGTGTTACCCTTGGGTTGATGCTAGGTGTTGCCGTACGAGTGAATCAATCAAGGCAAGCAGAGCAAGGATGCACTCGTAGCGGCGATCCAAGACGCCCAGGACGACAGAGGAAGGTGAGCAGATGTGAATCGAGGTGTTACCCTTCGGTTGATGCTAGGTGTTGCTGTACGAGTGAATCAATCAAGGCAAGCAGAGCAAGGATGCACTCGTAGCGGCGATCCAAGACGCCCAGGACGACAGAGGAAGGTGAGCAGATGTGAATCGAGGTGTTACCCTTGGGTTGATGCTAGGTGTTGCCGTACGAGTGAATCAATCAAGGCAAGCAGAGCAAGGGTGCACTCGTAGCGGCGATCCAAGACGCCCAGGACGACGGAGGAAGGTGAGCAGATGGGATATTGTGAAAGAATATGTTGCCATGTGATTGAAGAAAGGTGTTACCATGTAAGTGAGTCAATATGTTGCCATGTGAGTGAAGAAAGGTGTTACCATGTAAGTGAGTCAATATGTTGCCATGTGATTGAAGAAAGGTGTTTGCCATGTCAATATGTTCCTCCCCAGCAACCGGATCGGCAAGAAGCCCGTCAACGTGTAGATCACCGAATTCGCCTCTCGCAGTCTCCTGTGGGACAACGAGTGGGTCGTGCCCAGCGATCTGCGTTCAAGATGTCCTCTTCTCTCCCTTCTATCCCTTCCGTGGCCCCATCTTAACCCCATTCCTCCCCAGCAACCGGATCGGCAAGAAGCCCATCAATGCGTGGATCAGCAAATTCGCCTCTCGGATCCTGCTGCAGGACAACGAGTGGGTGGTAGCCAGCGATCTGCGCACTAAGTACGGATTCACCAGCAGCAGGAAGAGCCTGGGGAAGGGCAAGGGGAAAGGGAGGGGGAAGGATGCAGAGGGGTGGAGTGGAGAGGGGGAGGGGCGGGGAGAAGGGGCGGGAGCAGACCAGAAGGCAAAGAAGAAGCAGAAGCGAGAAGAAGCAGGGGCAGGAGCAGAGGGAGAGTCCAAGAAGCGAAAGGCTGGGGTGGGAAGTACCAAGGAGGCAGGTACTACTGCGCTGCAGAAGAAGCACAAGCGCGTGAAGGAGAGTGGTGGAAGTGGAGGAGAGGAGGAGCGGGTGGGGGTGGTGGGTGTGGAAGGCGGGGAGGGAGAGGGCGCTGCTCCTTCTGGGAGATGCCCGTAAGTGCCCTGCCACCTGCTTGTGCTTCGCCCCTGAGGTTTATGTTCCTCCTCCAACCTCAAACCCTTCAACCCTGGCTGTTCACTCCACTGAAAAGTGGGTGTGGAAGGCGGGGAGGGAGAGAGCGCTGCTCCTACTGGGAGATGCCCGTAAGTGCTCTGCCACCTGCTTGGATTTTGACCTTCAATCTATGTCCTTCCTATACCACCCCATGTCCCACGCCACCCCTCTTCTCCCCCCTCCCTCCCTGCCCCCAGTGTGTGCCAGTGCAGGTCCCACCACAAGGACAACACGCCTCTACTCGTCTGCTCCCCGTGCACTAGGGATTGCCACCTGCCGTGCCTGCCTGCTGCTGGACTCCAGAATCACTTGGATCCTTTGCATTTCCCTCGTGCCCGTTTCCCGCATTCCCCGGTTCCCCACCCCCAGTGTGTGCAAGCGCAAGTCCCACAAGGACAATGCGCCTCTGCTCGTCTGCTCCGCTTGTCCCCGGGCCTTCCACCTGCCGTGCCTGCCTGCTGCTATGCTTCCCCCTGGCATGCTGGCGGAAAATGGGGAAACACCATCACAAGCACAAGCGTCGCAGCCTGGAGGGACTCAGAGCCAGAGTCAGCCGACACCTCTTGTGACGACTCCAGGAGGCGGAGATAAAGATCGGGGAGGGAGACTGCTGCTCTGCCCCGCCTGTTGGCGCAGGTGGGTCAGCATGGTAGGACGAAAATTTACTGTCTTTTGCCGTCAACTTATCATCTCCTCTTCCCTTGTTAACGACCCCCTTCCCTTCCATCTCCGGCACTTTTTCGCTTTCCCCTCCTTCTGCGCTCCTTTTATCCCCCCATGGCCTGCTGTGCCTGCTCCCGTCAGCCAAGCGAAGCAGCAGCAGAAGGAGGAGCAGCGGAGGGCTGAAGAGGTAGGGCACTTGCACACTGCACTGTACCCTCCTGCAGAAGGAGGGCACACTGCACTGTACCCTCCTGCAGAAGCAGGGCACGTGCACACTGTACCCTCTAGCTCTTTTTTCCATGATCCACGTTTTTTTTCTCTTGTTGACGTAGAACGTTTATATTGAGACGCCTCATAATGAACCTTCTAGCACGGAGGGCTGAAGAGGCAGGGCACGTGCACACTGTACCCTCTTGCTCTCTCTTTTCAATGATCTACGCTCTTTTTCTCTTGTTGTCGTGTCTGCTATTGGCACTAATCTACTCCAATGCAATCCACCCCTTCCACCCCTCCCCCCTCCCCTTCCACCCCTCCCTCCTCCCCTTCCTCCCCTCCCCATACGTCTTCCGCCTACCTTGTGCTATATAGGAGCGCAAGTTGCAGAAGCAGAGGGAGAGGGAGCAGCAGCAGCGGATGCGGCAGTACCCGATCGAGGATCTCGAGGTGGAGGCGGAGGAGAGGAGAGAAATGGAGGCCGCTATTGCTGCTTCTGGTGCTGCTTCTGCTGCTGCCGCTATTGCTGCCGCTGCTGGTGCTGCTGGTGCTGGTGCTGCTGGCGCCACTGCCACAACCACTGCGGGTGTTGCACCGGCTACCCCTGCTGCCACTCCAGATGCTGCCACAGCCATTACTGCTGCTGCTGCGGCACTGACCCCGTCTCCTCACTCTCCTCCGCCCGCCCTCTCCCTCGCACTGCTGCTGCGCCCCCCTCGCCCCACTCCCATGCGTGCCGAAATCGCCCTGGGCTTAGACGATCCTCTTGACCTCTCTCTGTGGATCGCCCGTCAGTCCAAGGCACACACAGCATGTGACCCTGGGAGAGGTCATAGGGGTGAGATGAATGAAAGCAATAGGCGAGTCAAGGGGGAGGAAGAGGAGGTGTCGGAGGGAAAGGATGAGGAGGAAGAGGCTGGCGGAATGGAGAAGGGCCATCCGTTGTCCGACGCTGCTGCTGCTGATGATGACATTGATAAGATGGTCGATCCTGACATGGCGAAACGGCGTGCCGCCATTGGCCCATTACTGCAGAACCCCCATACCACGTCAGAGGACACGCAGCAGCAACCCCTCTCTCAAAAGACGCCCATTGCACAGACCAAGGAGGAAACAGCCACTCCTGGGATGCCCAAACAAGCATCTTTGTTTCCCAGTCTCTTGGTGGTCTCCCAATCGGAGAGAGCTGCTAGAGCTCCCACTCCCTTGGTGCCCCAGTCCATGGGCGACGTCCTTCAAGTCTTCCAGTTCCACCGCGAATTCTCCCGTTTCGCCAAGGTCTCCCCAGTTCCCCTCCGGAAGCTCACCCGCGCGCTCGCGCAAGCAGACGAAGAAAGCGGGTGGCTCGTTTTGTCCGACCTGCACGTTCACCTGTTCAGGGCGTTGTTGAATCTGGGCGGCGGGGAGGTGCCGGGCGGGCATGAGGGGATCGGCGTGACTCAGAAGGTTCTGGACCGCTGGAAGAGGCTCCTGGATGCTGCCACGTGGCAGGAGATCATTCGCAGGTGGGTTAGAATCGGGGAGGAGGGGGGAAAGGGGAAAAGGGGGGAGGCAATGTGGGGGAAAGGCGTAAAGGAGGGGGGGGGGGGAAGGTTTGGAGGTGCCTGGCTGATATTAAGGGGCGATTCTTAGATGCGTGAGGATATATGCTGAGGTGAAGGAGGAGGGGAGTTGTGCGCTGATATAGGATGCCCCAATCCTCCTCAATCCACCCCAAACCACCCCTGTCCAACCCAGCCCACCCCTGTCCAACCCAGCCCACCCCTGTCCAACCCAGCCCACCCATGTCCAACCCAGCCCACCCCTGTCCAACCCAGCCCCCCCCAATTTACCTCAGCCCATCCCGATCCACCCGAATCCGCCATCCTCTGTATACCCATCTCCCTCTCGCCCCTTGCCCCCTCTCAGTTACCTGATCAGAGCGAGCCCCATCCCTCCTCTCCTCTCCACTGTCGCTCATTCTCTCTCCTCCTCTTGCTCTCTCTCTGGGTGTTTTTGAGAATTCTCAAACTACCCCCTCCCAGTTACCTGATCAGAGAGAGCCCCATGGCTCCTCTCCTCTCCTCTCCACCATCGCCCATTCTCTCTCCTCCTCTTGCTCTCTTTCTCTCTCTCACTCTCTCAAGCGGTCCTTAGTATTGCTGAACCCTGGGTACAGGCTAGGCAAGGGGAGCAAGGTACAGAGACGTGTACCTAATCAGAGGTGTCCTTAGTATTGCTGAACCCTCTCTCTCCTCCCATTCCCCCCTCTCTCCCTTTACCCCCTCTCAGGTACCTAATCAGAGCAAATCCCATGCCTCCTCTTCTCTCCACCGTCTCCCACTCCCTCGCCTCCTCTCCCTCTCTCTCCCTCCCCCCCGGCCTGCACCTGTTCCTGCTGAACCTGCTTCTGACGGATGTGCTAGAAGCGGAGGAGACGAGGGAGATGCTTGGAGAGAACATGGAGGCGGGGATCGAGCTGGGTAAGAAGCGGTACAATGAGGTGATGGAGGAGAGGAAGGAGCGGAATGAGGAGGTTAGGAGGCAGCAGGAGGAGCAGAGGGCTGAGAGGGAGAAAAGGGAGAAGGAGAAGGAAAAGGAGAGGGAGAGGGAGAAGGAGAAGGAGAAGGAAAGGGAGAGGGAGAGGGAGGAGAAGGAGATGGAGAAGGAGAAGGAGGGGAAGGTGGAAGGAGGCAAAGGGAAGGGGAAAGAGAAGGAGAAGGGGAAGGGGAAGGAGAAGGGGGCGATAAATGGGAAAGAGAAGGGGAAGGGGAAGGAGACGGAGAAGGAGAAGGAGTGGGAAGAATGTGATACAGACGAGGAGGTGGAGTTCTTGTTCCAAGTGCCGGAGGATATAAAGGAGTACCGGGGCGACCCCATGGACAGAAAGGCAGTTCTTGCGCACAAGGAGAGGCTGAGGCAGGAAGAGGAGCGGGTGAACAGGTGAGAGGTGGAGAGGAGAGGTGAGATTGAGGAAATTGGGGTTGCTGTTTAAGGTGCTGGGTGATATAAAGGAGTACCGGGGCGATCCCATGGACAGAGAAGTGGTGTTGGCTCAGAAGGACAGGCTGGGGCAGGAGTATATTTTTTAGTCGACTCAAAAATCACCTGTTGGCTCTCAGAAGGACAGGCTGGGGCAGGAGGAGAGTATTTTTTAGACGCCTCAAAAATAGACTCCTCACGCATGGTGTTGGCTCGGGAGGACAGGCTGGGGCAGGAGGAGGAACGCGTGAACAGGTGAGACTGGGGGCGGAAAGGGTGAAACAGTTTTGAGGCGCCTCAAAACAGGTGAGACTGGGGGCGGAAGGGGTGAAACAGTTTTGAGGCGCCTAAAAACAGGTGAGACTGGGGGCGGAAGGGTGAAACAGTTTTGAGGCGCCTCAAAACAGGTGAGACTGGGGGCGGAAGGGGTGAAACAGTTTTGAGGCGCCTCAAAACAGGTGAGACTGGGGGCGGAAGGGGTGAAACAGTTTTGAGGCGCCTCAAAACAGGTGAGACTGGGGGCGGAAGGGGTGAAACAGTTTTGAGGCGCCTCAAAACAGGTGAGACTGGGGGCGGAAGGGGTGAAACAGTTTTGAGGCGCCTCAAAACAGGTGAGACTGGGGGCGGAAGGGGTGAAACAGTTTTGAGGCGCCTCAAAACAGGTGAGACTGGGGGCGGAAGGGGTGAAACAGTTTTGAGGCGCCTCAAAACAGGTGAGACTGGGGGCGGAAGGGTGAAACAGTTTTGAGGCGCCTCAAAACAGGTGAGACTGGGGGCGGAAGGGGTGAAACAGTTTTGAGGCGCCTCAAAACAGGTGAGACTGGGGGCGGAAGGGGTGAAACAGTTTTGAGGAGCCTCAAAACAGGTGAGACTGGGGGCGGAAGGGGTGAAACAGTTTTGAGGTGCCTCAAAACAGGTGAGACTGGGGGGCGGAAGTGGTGAAACAGTTTTGAGGCGCCTCAAAGCAGGTGAGTGAGACTGGGGGCGGAAGGGGTGAGACTGGGAAGACAATGCTGCTGTGTGGTGCTGTCGTCCTGTGCATGGAAATCTCCCAAAGGTCCGGAGCATGGTTGTACCCACAAAACTCACTGCACCACACTGTTGTGCTCGCGTGTCCTCCCCTTGACTCTTTCTCGTCTCCATCCCTTGGGTCCTGAGGTGCCTCATACTCCCTCCCCACTCCCTTTTCTGTACTCCTGCAACCTTCCTGCAACCTTCCTTCAACCTTCCTGCAACCTTCCTTTGACCTTCCTTCAACCTTCCTTTGACCTTCCTTCAACCTTCCTTCAACGTGGGTGTTATTCGGCAGGTTAAAGAGCGAGTACATTCGGAAGAAGGAGGCGGAGAAGCGAGCAGCGGAGAGGGCAAAGAACGAGGCGGAGAGGAAGGTCAGAGGATGGCGCAGGGAATGATGGGGATGGGCCGATGGGGATGGGCCGATGGGGATTGCTGGATTTTTTAGGCGCCTCAAAAATAGACGCAGGGAATGGGATGGGCCGATGGGGATGGCTGGATTTTTTAGGCGCCTCAATAATAGATGCAGGGAATGGGATGGGGGGGGAGGGCTGGAAATCGCATCTTCCCCTTCTCTCCGATCTTCCGCGTCTCTTCAATCTTTCCATGTTCTCTTTTTCTCTCCAGATTTTGCTTTTGAGGCGCCTCAAAAATAGACATCTCTTCAGTCTTTCCATGTTCTCTTATTCTCTCTAGATTTTGCTTTTGAGGCGCCTCAAAAATAGACGTCTCTTCAGTCTTTCCATGTTCTCTTATTCTCTCTAGATTTTGCTTTTGAGGCGCCTCAAAAATAGACGTCTCTTCAATCTTTCCATGTTCTCTTGTTCTCTCCAGATTTTGCTTTTGAGGCGCCTCAAAAATAGACGTCTCTTCAGTCTTTCCATGTTCTCTTATTCTCTCTAGATTTTGCATCGTTCCCCGCGCGTTGCATATCCCCTCCTCCCCTCCCCCCTTTTCCCCCACCCTCCCCATCCCCCCTTCCCCCTTCCCTGTAGCGCCTGGCACAGGAGAGGAAGCGGGAGGAGACGTATGAAAGAGAGATGGGCTGGTGGTTCGCATCGCACAGTGCCCCTGGGCTTGGATTTTGAGTCGGCTCAAAAGTCAGCTTGGACCGACACCGCAATCGGTATTGCCTGCTTACTTTCTTCCTCCCCCTTCTCCCCCTTCCCTCCCCTCAGCGTTTGGCACAGGAGAGAAAGCGGGAGGAGGAGCGGAGGAAGCGGGAGGAGGCATACGAAAAGGAGATGGCTCGTCTTGTGATTCGCACTTTACCCCTGGGCTTGGACCGACACCACAACCGATACTGGCTGCTTACTGGGGAGCCTAAGGTAGTGTGGGTGGAAGAGAGAGGTGGGATGGTGGGAGAGGGGGAGGTGGTAGGAGGAGGAGGAGGACGAAGTGGAAGAGGAGGGAGCGGAGCAGGAGAGGGAGAAGGGAGGGGGGGAGGAGGAGGAGCAGGAGGAGCAGGAGGAGAGGAGGAGAGGAGGAAGGGGATGGGGGTTGAGATGGGGGTTAGCTGGCCGGGATCGCGTTGGTTCTGTTACACTTTCAGGGAAGAAATAGAGGAGCTTATAGCGAGTCTGAATGAAAAGGGGATAAGAGAGGCGGCGCTGAAAGCAGCACTGGTGAAGGTGAAGGGGAGGCTCATGGGGGCGATGAAAAAGCGGGGGAGTGGAGGAGGGGGGAGGGAGAGGGGAAAGGGAGGAGCAGAAGGGGAAGGGGAGGAGGCGGAAGGGGGGAAAGGGGATCAGGATGGGGAAGGAAAAGGAGACCGAAGCTTCAAGGATGGTGCGGGGGGTGTTGAGACGACCAGAGGGAGAGGGGGAGCGGATGTGTTTGTATCTGACGTGCCTGGTAAAGAGGAGGTAGGGAGTGGGGAGGAAGGGAGGTGGAAAGGGGAGGTTGCTACTGTGGGGGAGAAGGTGAGGGAGCAGATGGAAGGGATCAGGAAGGTTCTGGAGGGGCTTAAGGCTGCGCCTCCTCCTGTTGCGGCCACCACTGCTGCTGCTGCTGTGCTCGCACCAGCTACGGCTGGTAGTCCCTCTGCTGCTGCTGCTGCTGGCGCTGCTGGTGGTTCTGGTGCTGCTGGTGGTTCTGGTGCTGCTGCTGCTGCTGCCAAAGGTTCAACAGGCTCAGCGACTCCCACGTGGGCTATTTGGGCAGATCTGGTCGCCAGAGCCACTGCTGTTGCCGGCCCCAAAACGGATCAAATCAGATCTTTGGGGGCGCACAGCTCCTCTGGGCTAGCTATTGTGATGGGTGGCAAGAAAGGTCTTGGTTCTCGTTCCCCTGCTGCTGCTGCTGCTGCTGCTGCTGCTGCTGCTGATACTGCTGCTGCTGCTGCTGCTGCTGCTGCTGATACTGCAGTGGCAGAACCAGCAGCATCCGAAGCAGGGGCAGAGGCAAGAGCAGAGGCAGGAGCGGTCGGGGAAACTAAGTCAACCGCGTCCCCTCCCCCACCCGAATCCGTGCCAGTCAAGGGAGTCAACGGAGTCAAGGGAGTCAACAGTGAGCGTGTCCAGCTGGCGCGACAGGTGGCGGCATTGCGGCGGCTGCTGCTGTGCGCTGAGGTGGCGGCTTTCAAGCTCTGTGGGGATGCTCTTGGGGAGAGGAGCGGAGGAAATAGAGGGAGGAGAGAGGAGGAGGAAGGGAGTGAGGGTCATGAGAGAGAGGAGGTGTGCAACAGGAGGGACAAGAGAGAGAAGGAAGCAGACAGTAAGGCGGACAAGGGCGGTAACTGGGGGGAATCAGAAGCAGACGAGGAGGCGGAGGGGGTGGAGGGGAGAGAGGAGGGGGGAGAGGAGGAGGAGGAAGCAGCGACTGTGAGTGAGGTTGAGGAGCAGGAGGAGGACGAGGGGGTGAAGGGCCCGCCTGCTGCGCGCTGCTTGTGGCGGTCGCGGCGAGTGAGGCGGATGTGGAGGAGGGAGGTGATGGCGGCTCGCACACTCTCCTCGCTCACTTACCTTGCAGCTTCTCTAAGGTATGCCCTGCAACATCCACTTTTGAGTTTAAAAAAGGGCTTACCTGGGATCAAAATGCCCTTGATCTGATGTGTTCTTTGATCTCCCAGTTCAAGCCACTTTGCCTGTTGGTGGCGCTCTTTGTGGCAGTTGCATCGCAACGTGTGCTTTCCCCCCTCATTATATCCTTTCCTTTCCCATGCAGCGCCCTTGGAAGCATTCGAGCTGATTCTTAAGAGGACTCGAATGTCTCCTCGTTTCCTCCCTCCCCTTCTTTTCCCCTGCCACAGGGAGCGATGCAGTGCTCTCGATGCATCTAAAATGCACAGCGAAAGAAACGATGAAGGGGGAGGAGTGGAGGCGGGGACAAGAGAGAATGAGGAGGAAGAGAAAGTGGAGGAGAACAAGGGAGAGGAAACAGTTAAGGGAGCGAAAGAGGAAGCAGATAATACCCAAGAAGGTAAGAATAGAAGCAGGAAAGACGGGGCAAAGAGGGGCAATGAGTTTGACAATCACGAAGAAGCTACGGAAGGGGGGGAGAAGGAGGAGGAGGAAGACGAGGATGACGTGGCATTGGAGGAGGAGGAGGACGACGACGTGGAGGGGAAATCAGAGGAAGGAGGCGAGGGGGGGCGGGAAGAGGACGGAGGTGAGGCCTTCACTATCGTCGGAGGCAGAAAGCTGAGGCTGAGAGGTGAACCCGCGGGCTCAAGAGCACAGCAAGCAGGCGGATCCACCCAATTTACAGACTGGAACAAGCCCGGTTTATCTGAGGGACGAGCCAGGACTCTTTCTCCCTTCTGTGCTTCCTGCGGGGAGGCAGTCGAGACAGGGGAGCAGGTGGAGAAGGGGGAGATGGGGGATATGGTGGATTTTGTTCGCTGCGCGGCTGCTTCCTGCCACAAGGCGTTTCACCCTGCGTGTGCTGGGCTGAGGCGCAAGGCCGCCAAGGTTGCTTGGTTCTGCGGCGAGTGCCGGCAGGGTGGGAGGAGGAAGGGAGGAGGTGGGGCGGGGGGAAGGGTGGGAAGGGTGGGGGGAGAAGGGGGAGGAAGCGTGGGAGGGGGGAGGAATCAGAGGAAGAGGATGAGGAGGATGAGGAGGATGATGAGGATGAGGAGGAAGAGGCGGAAGAGGAGGAGGAGGAGAATGGGAAGGGGAATGATGATCAGGAGGGCGGTAGTGAGGAAGAGGAGGGAGAGGGGGGAGAGGAGGAGAAGGAAGGGGGGGAAGGGGGGGAAGCAAAGGAGGATGAGGGGGAGGAAGAGGAAGAGGAGGAAGAGGAGAGCGAGGAGGATAGTGAGGAGGAAAGGAAAGTGCGTGGAAGGGGCAGCAAGGGGAGGAAGCCTACAAACGGGAAAGGCAGAGGTCGTTCTGGTGTTGATGCTCTAACTGGGAGACTGCGGGGGAAAAGAGAAGAGAGCGAGGATGAAGAGGAGGAGAGCGAGGAGAGCGAGGAGAGTGAGGAGGATAGGAAAGTGCGTGGAAGGGGCAGCAAGGGGAGGAAGTCTACCAAAGGGAAAGGCAAAGGTCGTTCTTCTGTGGATTCTCTAACTGGGAGACTGCGGGGGAAAAGAGGAGAGCACGAGGAGGAAGAGAAGGAGGATGAGGAGAGCGAGGAGGAAGAGGAGGAGGATGAGGAGATCGAGGAGGATAATGAGGAGGAAAGGAAAGTGCGTGGAAGGGGCAGCAAGGGGAGGAAGCCTACAAAAGGGAATGGCAGAGGTCGTTCTGGTGTTGATTCTCTAACTGGTAAGAGAAAGTTGCAGAGGGAAAGTGAAGAGAGTGAAGAGGAAGAGGAGGAAGAGGAGGAGGATGAGGAGGAGGAAGCCGAAGAAGTTGGGGAGGATGACGATGGGGAACAGGAGGAGAGTGAAGGGGAGAGTGAGGAGGAAAGGAAAGTGAGGAGGGGTAGCAGCAAGGGGAAGGGTTCAGCTGAAGCAGGAGCGAAGAAGAGCAAAGGTGGAAGTGGGGCTGCTGTTGTTGCAGGAACTGAGAGATTGCGGAAGAGAAAAGGAGCAGTGAGTGAGGAGGAAGAGGAGGAAGATGAGGAGGACGAGGAAGAGGAGGAAGAGGAGGAAGAGGAGGGGGAGGAGGAGGAAAGTGAAGAGAATAGCGAGGAGGAAGTGAAAATGAGTAGAAGGAACAGCAACGGAAGGATGCCAGCCAAAGGGAAAGGTCAAAATGGTGCTGCTGCTAATGCTCGAACAAAGAAACTGCCGAGGGAAAGAGAAGAGAGTGAGGAGGAGGAAGAAGAGGAGGAAGAGGAGGAAGAGGAGGAAGAGGGGAATAAGAACAGGGATAACACTAGTGGTGCTGATTATGGTAGTAGTGGATTGACTATGCGCCGCGTGACGCGTGGTATGCTCTCAGAATGGAGCCAAGAGACGCCGACCCAAGATACGCCCTTTCAGTACGAGCCAAGGAAAGTGGCAAGAGAAGCAGCAAAGGAAGCAGCAAAGAAAGGTGCAAGCAAAGCGGATGCTGCTGACATGGGAGCGAGAAGGCTGACCCGAGGGATGGTCTCGGAATTGAGCCAAGAAAAACCGACCCTCGGGAAGCGGGCTGAAGAAATTAAGACTCCAGAAAAGCCTACTCTTGTGGGATTTGGAGCGAGAAGAGTGACTCGCGGCATGGCGCAAGGCAGTGGGAAGGAGAAGAGAGAGAACGAGGAGGAAAAGGAGGGAGAGGAGGAGGAGGAGGGAGAGGAGGGGGAGGAGGAGGAGGAGGAGGAGGAGGAGGAGGAGGAGGAGGAGGAGGAAGAAGGAAATGGGGAAGAGGAGGATGAAGATGGGGAGGAGGAAGTTGAGGAGGAAGTGAAGGAGGGAAAGGGTGGGAGTGGTGAGAAGAAGAGGACTGGTGATGAGGGCGGTAGAGGGAAGGGGAGGGAAGGCGGAGCAAAGAAAAGGATGACAGCTTTAGAGCTGTCTCTGAGGTCACGTGGGGAGACGCAGCAGCAAGGAGGGGAGGGCAGGGGGGGAGAGGGAGGAGGGAAAGGGAAGCAGGAGGCAGGAGGGAAGGGCAAGCAGGATGAGTCAGGGAGGTATGGCAAGGCGTACTCACGGACTCGGAGGAGAGAGACTGTTTAACCGGGGAAGGGTGGGTTTGGAGAGGGAGGAGAGAAAGGTGGGCAGGATGAGGCAGGGGGGAAAGAGAACCAGGAGGCAGAGGGAAGGGCAAGCAGGATGAGGCAGGGAGGTATGGCAATGCTTACTCGCGGACTAGAAGGGGAGAGACTGTTTAACCGGGGAAGGGTGTAATTATTGGGGATGGTGGGGAATTGGAGTGTTTTGCAGCGCAATGGAAAGAAGAGAGGGTTGGGAGCGGAGGCGAGTGAAGGGGCATCATGCTGACAGGTAGAGGAGGGGGGGTTCATAGTGAGCGGAGGCATGATGCTACCATGCGGTTTTCATACGAGCACAGGTTTTCATCTCCGCGGGTGGAGGCGAGGTTTCCAGAGGGAGCAGAGGCGTGTGAGAATGAGAACAGGTCGACTCAAAAGAACAGGTAGAGGAGGGAGGGACCACCAACCATGAGCAGATTGTAGGAATGAGCCAGGAGGTTGGTGTTGCTGCTATGAAAAACCATGGAAACCTGCAAACGGGTTTTCATGGTTCTGGTTTGGGAGTGAAGCGAGGGTGTTCAGAGAAGGAAATCTTTTGGAAGATCTTGTTGAGGGGTGCCGAAACTGGCAAACATACATGCAATATGTTAATATAGGCTAGTTAGGTGTATGCCTTGAGAGAGTACAACCCCCTATGTAAAAGTACTCTGTACTGTTGTTTCGAGTTATCTCGCTACTTTGAGATGGTATCGAGTAGGTTCCGTCCTCCCACCCGCCTCCGCCCTCTCCCTTCCCTTAGCGCCCCGCTGGCCCGTTAGCACCCTCCTGGCCCCGTACGTCCCACTGGCCCCTAAGCGCCCCGCTGGCCCGTTAACGCCCTCCTGGCCCTGTACGTCCCGCTGGCCCCTAGGCGCCCCGCTGGCCCCTAAGCGCCCCGCTGGCCCGTTAGCGCCCTCCTGGCCCCATACGTCCTGCTGGCCCCGTACGTCCCGCTGGCCCCTAGGCGCCCCGCCGGCCCGTTAGCGCCCTCTTGGCCCCGTACGCCCCGCTAACCCCGTGCGCCTCGCAGGCACCGTTAGCGCCCCCTTGGGCCCGTCGAGCCTCGCTTGCCCCGTGCGCCCCGCCGGCCCCATACGCCCTGCAGGCCCCTTAGCGCCCCGCAGGCCCGGTAGCGCCCTCCTGGCCCCGTCCGCCCCGTTCGCCCCATACGCCCTAGCCTTAGTGCCGCGCCTCACCGGTTTCGTTGTGCCCCGCTGGCCCCCGTGCGCCCTTGCTGGCCCCGTGCACCTTACTGCCCCCCTGCACCTTGCTGGCCCCGTTCCTACCCCGCTGGCCCCCTAGCGCCCTGCTGGTCCCTTGCGCCCCGCTGCCCCCGTTCGAGCCAGCTCTCGTTCCTGCCGTCCCCAGCGTGCCGCGCCGCCGCCGTGCCGCCATACTACCGTGCGGTCGCCGTGCCATCGCCGTGCCGCCGCCGTGCCACTGCCGTGCTGCTGCCATGCCGCCGCCGTGCCGCCACCGTGCCGCCGCCGTGCCGTCGCCATGCCGCCGTCCTCCCGCCGCCGCTGCGTCGCGCCGTGGAGCCGTGGAGCCGCGCCGTAGTGTAGCGCCGTGGAGCCGCGCCGCTGCCCTGTCCGAGATAGAGACTCGACAGCGTAACATCACTCAGTCGAGTGGTACTGCAGCAGTCCCTATCTCTCAGGGTTGTGCACCCTCCCAGTGCACTTACACTGACGTTTCTGCCGCTGTCGCCGAGACAGCCCTTGCTGCTGAGAGCGCCGCTGCAGCCTCAGCGCAGGGGCCGCCGCCCCAAGGGGGGGCGTGGTGGAGGTCAGGGTGGTGGGGATGGTGGAGGTGGAGGCAGAGACAGCAGTTCCGACAATGGGACCAGGGTTGGTGCCCCAGAGCAGCAGCAGCAGCAGTAGTCGTGTGGCCGCCTTGCCCGGTGCCTCTGGTGGTGGTGACCGCGGTGGTGGCCCTTGTAGCTCGGCGTCGGGCGGCAACTCCAACGCTGGGGGTTGCCAGTACCAGCTCCAAAACGGCCCCTTCCACGGCACTGTGTGTGGTCGTCCGCACCCTACCACCTGCTACTTCCGCCACCTCGACGACCTCTTTCGCCGCCGCTTCGGCCCGGCGACGAATATCCCCGACTGGTTCAGTCTTGTGTGCCATGGTGTGCCTGTTTTTGAGTTAGACATAGATCAGATTTGTTCTGCTTTGCATTCCCTGTATGCTGATGCCTCTGTTGTGACCGGACCTTATCACCCTGTGTTGCCTAGTTTAGGTGTGCCACTTGTGTGTAGTCTAGACTCCCCTGCTGCGTCAGGCGTAGGAACTTCTGCTTTATTTAGTCTAGACTCCACGCTCTCTCCTCCGTCGGCAGCTGCTTCCGCTTTGCTCTCCTTCACATTTGACTCCGGCATCTCATCCGCGACCACACTGAGTTCACACCGCTTGCCGCCCCTGCTGCTGTCATGCTTGCTGACCCCTCCTCATGCCCTGTAGTTGCTCGTAGCTCCACTACCCTTCCCTGTCCGGCGATTCCCTCAGGCTCTCTTACAGGCCTGCACATCCTCTCGTTCTCCAGGAGCCTAGTTGGTGTCGGCTGTCTTCGGGACCTCGGCGTCACCACTACGTTCTGTGGACACGAGCGCTATGCGGTCTGTACCGACGCTGCTACAGGTACCCCCCTTACCACGTTCCCCCAGGACCCTTGGTTTGGCTTTTTACCCTCGACACCGAGTCACCCTTGGTGAGGGTGTCCCCCCAGATGCCTGCGTCTACTCAGGTCACTGCGGCCTGCTCGTGTTGGTCGCTCACTCACCCGTTGCTTCTGTGGCACCACCGTCTACGTCACCCCGTACTCCCTCGTCTGCGTCACATGTCCTAGCATAGTCTTGTCCTAGGTCTCCCTGCGTCGCTCCCTGCCCTCCCTCCCTTGCCTTTGCCACCGTGCACGCCTTGTGTCGAGGGCCGGCTGCGCCATGCTCCTCACTCCTCCTCGCTTCGCCCTACCACTACGCCATTATAGACACTGCACCAGGACGTCTAGGGCCCAGCCCCCATCCCCGGGCCACGTCGAGAGCGCTACTTTCTAGTGCTTGTCGACGACTACACACGCTACACCACGGTGTTTCCCCTAGAGTGGAAGGCCGACGTGCCTGGAGTTCTTATCCTGTGGGTCATAGCTGCGCGCGTCCACCGCGGTCTCCCCGTGCTGTGTCTCCACTCCGACCATGGTGGCGAGTTTGCCTCTGGTCGGCTTGGCCAGTTCTGTCGTGCGGAGGGCATCACCCAGTCGTACACCCTGCCGGACTCCCCGCAGCAGAATGCGGTCGCTGAGCGACGCATCGGTTTGGTCATGGAGGTGGCTCGTACCTCTATGATCCATGCCGGTGCACCTCATTTTCTGTGGCCGTTTGTTGTTCGCTACGCCACTCACCAGCTTAACTTGTGGCCACAGGTTTCGCCAATCCTTCTCTGGACCGGGTTTCGTGGTGACGCGTCTGCGTTCCATGTCTGGGGATGCCTTGCTCACTTTCGTGTCTGTAGCATGGACAAGCTCACTACCCACACAGTCCCCTGTGTCTTCCTTGGCTTCCCCCTTGACTCGTCCGACTGGCACTTTTACCACCCGTCGTCCCACCGTTTCTTTTACTCACTTGACGTAACCTTTGACGAGTCTGCCTCTTTCTATCACCGCTTTCCTCACAGAGGTCTCCCGGTTTCCCCGCCCCTGTTTCTGGTTCCTGCTCCCCCCAAAGCCCTTGCTCCTCTCCCCCCCCGTCCTGCCCCGTCTGGTGAGTTACTCCCCTCCCGTCAGTTGTCCCGCTCGAGGAGTCGTCTGACTCTGGTGGCCCCGCGGCTCCATTCTCGCCGCCCATCTCCGCCCCAATGTCTCCTCCTCTGCTGTCGCCGCAGCTGCTGACGTTGCCACCACAGCAGCAGCTGCAGCCGTTGCTCCCGCAGCCGCAGCAGTTGCCACCGCAGCCGCAGTCACCGCCGCCGCAGCAGCAGCCGCCGCAGGGGTCCACGGGTCCTGGGGGTGGCACCGGTGCTGGAGAGGATTCCAGATCTGGGGGTGCTAGCGTGGTGCTTCTCGGAGGTAGCCGTGGTACAGCTGGAGGTTCTGGTATCGGCATGGAGCCGCAGCAGTAACAATCGACACTGTTGTCGGCCCTTCGCCTCCTCAATCTTCCCTCCCCCGACCCCCCGCTTGCGCCTCCTTTGCCGCCGCCTCTCGTGCTTGTCTACGGCCCTGTGTTTCCTCCGCCGGACTTGTCTCCGGCTCGTTTCCCCCCTTGTTCCCCTCCTGTGTCTCCTCCTCTGTCTCCTGACCCGACGCCTCCATCTCACGTCTGGTCTCGCCGTCCCTCTCGTGCTCGTCCTGTCTCTCATGTTCCCCGCTCTCACCCTATGTTGCTTCGTTCTCACACGTCTTGTCCTCCCATCCTCCCGTCACCTCCGCCGTCGTCACTTGTCGTCGCGCCTCCTCCTTTCTCTGACTTCCTTCGTGATGCTAGTCCTCTTATTCCTCGGTTCCTTGCCTCCCTCGTTACCGACCCGTCTGTTCTAGTCTCCAGTCTTGATGCGCTTGTCGCTGCCGTTGCTGACTTTGCCTCTACCCGTCGCCTTGACTACGCCACAGCTCTTGTCTCTGACCCTGCCTGTATTCCGTCCGTCGGGGTTGCACCCTCCTTTGCCAGTGATGTCTTAGAGGACAGGCAATATGAGCTAGCTTTCCTGTCAGAGGCTGCGCCTTATCTCTGCTCCATGCTGCTAGTCCCTGAGGGTGACCTAGACGCCCTCGACATCCCGACCCCTCGCACCTACGCTCAGGCCACCTCGGGACCCTGGGCCTCTCAATGGATAGCTGCAATGGAGCAGGAGATGGCATCTTGGAGATCCACCGGCACCTACGTTGACGCAGTTCCCCCACCTGGGGTGAACGTAGTCGATGGCCGGTGGCTCTTCAAGGTGAAGCGCCCTCCTGGAGAGCCACCTGTCTTCAAGGCGCGCTATGTGGCTAGAGGCTTCAATCAGCGCAAGGGTGTTGACTTCTTTCAGACCTTCGCCCCGACCCCGAAGATGACCACTCTTCAGGCACTGCTACACGTAGCAGCATAGCGTAACTACGAGCTGCACTCTCTCGACTTCTCCACAACATTTCTTCAGTGCAGTCTGCACGAGCAGGTCTACCTGCTTCGCCCGCCTGGCTTCACTGGCACGTTCTCCCCTGGGACCGAGTGGCTGCTTCGGCGCCCAATTTACGGCCTGCGGCAGGCGCCTCGCGAGTGGCACGACACGTTGCAAGCTACCCTAGCTAACCTGCAGTTCTTCCCGTCGTCTGCAGACCCCTCGCTCTTCGTTTGTTCTGGCCAGACCCCGTCCTACATCCTTGTCTACGTAGACGACCTGAACTTCGCTACTGCAGACAGAGATGCACTGGTCTCCGTAAAGGCTGAGCTGCCGAGGAGACACACCTGTACTGACCTCGGAGAGCTGCGCCACTACCTTGGTCTGCAGATCTCCAGGGATAGAGCAGCATACACCATCACTCTTACACAGTCACACTTGGTGCGCCAGGTCCTTCAGAGGTTCGGCCTTCAGTTCCCTTGTGCACAGCCCACGCCTCTGCCAGTAGATCACGAGCTCTCGACTCCAGTCCCTGAGGAGTCTATAGAGCCTAGTGGTCCTTACGCAGAGCTGGTGGGTTGGCTCATGTACCTGATGAATTGTACTCGTCC